AGTGTCACTGGCCCTCATATGTGGGATCCGAACCGGGGCCCTCTGGCATCCCAAGCGAGTTCTTAACCATCGCGCCACTCGGCCGGCCCCCTTGGACACCTTTTTAAGGACACAATTCAATGCACTACAGCTACATTCTGATTAATTTCCTCATTCAAGTTTTTCTGTTTATTAATCTTTCTTTAATTGTATTGAAGCTGCTGTTCAACATATTCATTTACGTTTCTAAAATTTCAATTGTTATATTTTCAGTTTTCAAAATGCTTAGTCTTCCTTTCATTTCTTCTCTGCACATATTTAAAGCTGTTCTTTATTTTTGTATATAGAAAAACATGGCTATTTATATTTTGTGGGTCTTTTCCTATCATTTGTTTTTTCTCTTGGTTCATAGTACCTTGTATTTCCCCCCATTTTTATTAAAGCTTATTGGGGGTAATGTTGGTTAATAACATTATATGAATTTCAGATGTACAGCTTTATAATAAGCCATCTGTATATTCCATTATGTGCTTACCACATAAGTCTAGTCTCCTTTAGTCACCATATATTTGACCCAATTTATCCTCTTCATCCTCCTCAGACCACTTTTCCTCAGGTAAACACCACACCATTGTCTGTGTCTATGAGTTTGTTTTGTTTGTTGCTTTTTGTTTTATATCTCACATGGGGTGAAATCATATGGTTCTTGTCCTTTTCCATCTGACTTATTTTACTTAGCATGATACTCTCAAGATCCATCCATGTTGCGCAAATACTTTATGTTTTTTGTGGCTAAGTAGTATCCATTGTACATATGTACCACATCTCCTTTATTCAATAATCTGTCAAAGGACACTTTGTTTGTTTCCACATCTTGGCTATTGTGCATAATGTTGCAATAAACATAAGGATACATAAATATTGATGAATAAGTGTTTTCAAATTTTGGGGATAGGTACCCAGAAGAGGGATTGCTGTGACATATGGTAGCTCTACTCTTAATTTTTTGAGGAACCTCCATACTATTTTCTATAGAGGCTGCACCAATTTACATTTCCACCAGCAGTGTATGAGGGTTCCTTTTGCAAACAATACCTTCGATAAGGGCCTAGTAGTCAAAATATATATAGAACTCATATAACTCAACAACACCAACAACAAAAAATCCAATTAAAAAATGGGCAGAGGACTTGAACAGACACTTTTCCCAAGAAGACAATACAGATGGCCAACAGACTTATGAAAAGATGCTCAACTTCACTAGCTATAAGGCAGCGGTTCTCAACCTTCCTAATGCCGCGACCCCCTTAATACAGTTCCTCATGTGGTGACTCCCAACCATAAAATTATTTTTGTTGCTACTCTATAACTGTAATTTTGCTACTGTTATGAATCATAATGTAAATATCTTTTTGTTTTCCNCTACTGTTATGAATCATAATGTAAATATCTTTTTGTTTTCCGATGGTCTTAGGCGACCCCTGTGAAAGGGTCATTCGACCCCCAAAGGGTTCGTGACCCACAGGTTGAGAACCACGGCTATAAGGGGAATGCAAATCAAAATCACAATGAGATACCACTTTACACCTGATAATAGAATGGCTGTTATCAATAAGACAAGAAATAACAAGTGTTGGAGAGGGTGAGAAATGGTAACTCTCATACACTGCTCATAATGCCTTGTTTTCTCAAGTGCTTAGTGAATTTTGACTGTAAGTAGCTCAATTTCATTGAAAATTTGGTTTTTGAGATCCATGGAGACCTGGTATTATGTTGGTTCCTTCAGAATGTGTGTGCATTTTGTTTCTGCCAGAACCTGGGGGTAACTTCTTGTTTGGGACTACTTTAAACTAAACTTTTAGTTTGAAAGTTTGAGGATGACTCAGATACTATAAATTTACACTTTAATTCAACATGATAACCAGATTATGGATTCAGCTTCTTAAGGGTGTTGCCTTCTTCTGCTAAATTGCCAAGTTTTAGACAGATTTTCATGTAATCTTTGATGAAAAGTAGTGGTATTTCTAGTTCACTCTTACACTAAGGTAGAGCCCTTTGGAGGTTTTTTACTTAAGACCTCTACTTAGATTTCCCACCTTAAGCAGACACTGAAATTTTTCTCTTGTAGTCCATGTGCCACAAGGCCATGAAAACTGATACCCAAGTTGACCAAGTTTGGTAAATGACCTCAAATTTCTCTTACTTTTCTGGTTCACACCATCAGTAGATCTCTCACTTTAGTATCCCTGATTTTCTTTCTAGCACAGCAATGGTCTTACTAAAATGTTTCAAAGCTTTTATACAGCATTTTAGATATTTATTGTCTAGTAATGTTGTCTACTGTCTTATCAGAATCAGAAATCTCTTTCTTTATGAGTCAATTTGTATGATTTTCATTATTTTAGAAAATTGTACCTACATTTGAAAAAACGATTGGCCTAAATTTTTTTATTATATTCTATAATGGACTTTAAAATCTTAACTGTACCTGTGGTTATGGCCCAATTTTTATTTATTGTTAATTTGTACCTTTTTTCTTGGTATTTCTAACTTGATCACACCAATTATTAATAAAGGCAAATAAATAGGTGATTAAAATAAAATGTAGCGGGCCGGCCGAGTGGTACGATGGCTAAGAACTGGCTTGGGATGCCAGAGGGCCCCGGTTCGGATCCCACATATGAGGGCCAGTGACACTGCCCTCTACAGCTAAGATGCTGAACAACAGCTCAACCTGGAGCTGGGCTGCTGTGAGTCGCCTGCGACGGCATAGGCTGCAGCCACTGTGGCAGTGGGTTGCCATGGGCTACCGTATGTAGCCAGCAGCCAGCGTGAGTGGCCAGCAGCCGCAGTGAGCGGCCGTCCAGAAGCAGGCGACTGATCTGCCTCGCCCGGGAAGAGCGCAATGATGGTGCCAACTTGGGCCAGTGAAGCAACGTCCTCCACAACTAGACTGAAGAACAAAACGACAGCAACTTGTCTGTTCCCTTTCCCCCAATTCCCCAGCACTGTTCCTATCCCCCCAATTCCCCAATAAAAATCTTTAAAAAAATAATAAAATGTAGCTAGCCAAGCTTTTGAAATAAAAATGTAACCCCCCCCAAAAAAATAAAAATAAAATGTGGTAAGATCTATGAAGTTTCTATGAGTGTTATGGAGGTACACATGAGACATTTTATCAAGATTTAAATGGGAAGATATGTAAAGCTCTCAGCATGCTGTCTCATACTTGGAAAGACCTCAATAGTTATTAAAATTTATAGTTATTAGGGAAACCTTCCTTAGAGAAAGGGGAGGGTAGAAATTGTCTATAGAAAAAAAGTCAGTGGATAAGTGGAAAATTAATTTGTATTGATAAAGCCAAGAGCAACTAAATAAACTTTAATATAACGAGAGCACAGAATAAGAGTGAAAATGGCGAGAGGTGAGACTGGAGAGCTAAGAGCAGGACATCTCATGTAGGGCTTGGGGGACATAATAACGAACCTGGATTTTACCCTAAGAGACACACAGGTATTGAAGGGTTTCAAGCAGGGAAGTATCTTGATTATATTTAGGTTTTAGAAGTATTATTTTGGCTGCTGTATGGAGACTAGCTTCGGTGGGGCCAATAGTGACTACTAGGAGAAAAAGAGAGGGACTATTGAAGTAATATAGGCAAGAAATAAAGTAGGGATAATGGATGGATTTGGTATTTTGTAGGTGAATCTTTACAATTTCATGTCTGACTGGATGTTGGGAGTGAAAGACAGGCTAGAGTTAAGGACAAGCCCAGGTTTCTGGCTGGGGCACCTGGGGAGGTGGTGTCATCACTCACTAATGTGGGGAACACAGAAGAGGAGCAGACTTGGAAGATACGATGCATTTCGTTTTGTACACGTTGCATGTGAGATACTTTTGATACTTGTGATATTCAAGAGAATGTCTCCTCTGCAACTTCTTTGCTTCAGGAAAGTGCAAAAAGTGTAGTCTTTCCTATAAACTACTACTAAAATGACCAATTTTCCTTAAAGGGAAGTGGGAGATTCTACACAACACTTTGAGAATAGAAGCCAATTCTTTCTTACCTTTCTTTGACTTTTCTGCGTTTGGCTCTGTACTAGATATGCTTTGATCTTTTGATTCACAAAATGTGATCATCATATAGACAATTCAATTTATCTTCTCCTGACCCAACAAACATGGTATGGTTGGCCACCTCTAAGGTAGCACCCAATGATCTCCACCCCATAGCATCCGTACCTTTGTTTACTCTCTACCCCATGAGTGTGGTTTAACTTTTCAACTAACTTCTAAGGACTAGAATATGGCAGAGCTGATGTGATGGCATTCCTGAGTTAAGCTATCAAAGGACTATGGCTTGTTTTGGGTGCTGTATTTTACACTCCATCTTGAATGTCTTGCTATGGCAAAAGCCAGCTGCCATGTCATAAGGTGGCTTTGTGCAAAGGTACATGTAGCAAAGGACTGATGCCAACAAGAGCCATAGGAAAGAGCTTGAAAGTGGACCCTCTTCCAGTTAAGCCTTGAGGCGACTACAGCCCTGGTCGACATCTTGATTGTAGTCATGCGAGATGTCGTGAACCAGAATCACCCAGCTAAGCTGTTCCCAGATTCTTGACCCACAAAAACTGTTAGATAATACATATTTGTTGTTCTCAGCCACTAAGTTTTGGGGTAATTTGTTATGCAGCAATAGGTAACTAATATTCCTGACTTGCTGGCAAGGCAATCGGTCTGAGTCATGAAAAGTGTATTTGAGATATAAGAATGGGAACATAGTGATTGAGATCACATGCTATTTTATTTATGAAAGAATTAAAATAGTACATTAACAAAACTTTATGTAATAGAGAAAGAACATGAGAACTCTTCTGAATGAGATTGTCACCTTCAGAGATAGTAGCCCTGCTGAGTTACTCCATAGTTACATAAACCAAAGGCTAAGAGATTCGCTAAAGTCAGGATATGAATAAATGGATAATTTCTTCTGGAAAGACTTAAAATGACTCAATAATGCCCTTTAATAAAGAAACTGATATGAAACCCCACTCTTTGGAGAAAGAGTAATTTGTCATTTCTGTAGCCAAGGTACACTATCTAAAGGAAACTGAGGGTTGTGACAATGATCTAGGAAGTCTAGCTCCAAAGGTCCCTTCAGCTTGTCTATTGCCTGACTTTGGAGAATTACCTGGGCATGACTTAGAAACTAGAGACTTGTCTCACAATAGAAAGATGAACAAATTCAAGTCCTGGATCCACCCTTTGATCCTGAGCCATTAGCGCCACAGGTCCTCTTGGCCTCTCATGTCTGAAAAATGCTTAGGTATTAGTGTCACCATTTTGAGTGACAGCTGCCATTGTGAATGACTGTCTTGATTCCTGAGGTGGGCAGGGCCTGGCCAACACCTTCTTCTCTGGTTGTGTAAGACAGGGACCAAAACAGAGACGAAATGGGTGTTGAACAAAGATGTCAGTCCAGGAGGTGATCATTTTGGGCTTCATGCTATAAGTGGTTTTGGATTTCCAGTGATGAAATGTCTTTCCAGCAAAAGGAGTAGCAAGTCACAGCCCTAGGGATTGGCTGGTTTTGTCAATCTGGCAATTCAGAGTCAGCGCAAACGACATCCCCAACACCTGAGAAAAGAGTTGGGAAAATATGAGGTCTTCATAGGAGGAGCCATCTCTTCCACAACCCCTGGGATCAGCTCCAAAGTAAAAGACAGTATCCATTATACTGAGACCACCCTTCCTGTCATCAATTCCAATTCCTTCTCAAGTATTCTCTCCTTTAGCTTTAGAATGGCAATGGGTAGATAAGTGGGGGGTAAAGATGGCAAGACAGTGTAGTATAAAGTGTTGGTACATCTTTTGTCTCCTTGAGAAGTCCTTAAGAAGGCTTAATAAGCTCTGCTGCTGGTCTAATCACGTTCTGTACAAGTCAACACTTCATGGAATGAGTCAATTTTATTCATGCCCTAGGCAGAGAAAAATTGTTTCCTTCTGAGCTTCTTGATTAAGTCTTAGCGAATCTGTGACATACTCAAAAGACTTGGGTATAAAAATGGTAGAAATATTACATAATAAAGAATGCAAAACTACTCCCAATTAACTCCTGACTTAAACTAAGCAGATAATCAACAAGGAAATTGATTATAATTTTCATCACCAACTCTTGCTTAACATACAAGGCCAATTTTTTAAGTAGACTGTTTTGTTCATCACAAGCTTTTTTCTAGGAATAAGTTGACCAGATAGATGTTACAACATATTTTCTGTATGCCTTAAATTGGTAATAACATGATTTGCTCCTTGACTGGGGAGCTCATGTTTATTGAGCACATACTACATACCTGGTACCGCTCTAAAACCTTATATGACTTAACTCATTTAATACTCAAAATAGTCCTGTGGTTAAGCTCTTACCTGAATCACACATACACAGATAGTGATGATGCCAATATACAAGAAGTTGGACTGAAACCACAGTTTCGCTTTTATATAGCAACCCTAGAAAAAAATTACAAGTACAAATTATATCATTGTATTATTCACCTTTATCAAGAGGCTTATTTGGGAAGACAGTTTGTATTTTGCCTTATACCAAGAGAATTAGGCCAGGTGTTATATTTTTATGTCCTTTATATGAATAAAGAAACAAACATAAAGTAGAGAACATTAAACTAGACTTTTTTGGTGTTCTTATCATTACAGTGACACTAAAGTAGAAGTCTTATATCCTTACACACTGAGTTCAACTAGCTCCCAAAAGGTATGTCAGCAACAGATGTCCTTACGTTCTTTGAATTTACTGCTGGTTGGTATTAACAAATGGGAATACAGGCTATGCAATGCTATGATTTGTTGCATTTCAGCTTCTGCTTCAAAAGCCAGTAAATCTCTTATGGCTCTACCAAGCTCCAGGGCAGTTGCTGGCTGGTAGATGTCTCAGTCTTTCTTCACAGACCTAAAAAATTCCAGAGATTTCTAAATAACCCTAAGGGTGGATAACATGGGGTAACAGGATCCTAGGGGACGTGGTTGAGTTGAAAGATGATTTTGGCTTCTTCTCTTGGTCTAGTCGAGAGGTCCAAATTAAGTAGGCAGTTTGTTTCAGCAGTTTCAACTTTCTCTCACCCAGCTCCTCACTCCTTTACATTATGTCTCATTTCACTAAGGGACTGGATGCTGCCATCTCCAAGGAAGGAGAGCAGAGAAACAGGTAGAGGGAGAAGCTTTTCTACCTCAACCTTACAAATTTCACTTTCAATTGTAAGGAGACCCACTTCTTGCTCAATAAAAATCTAGACACAATCCTCTGCCTCTATCACATAAACTTTCCCCCTCTATTGTAATAGTTTAGGGCAACAAGATTCTTAATGATGTCTAGTCTAAATTAGCTTGTTCCTTTTTTGTTTTTTTTCTGTTATGTCTGGTTACCTGGGTTTTCTCCCTGGTGTCTATTTTGTTCAAGGTTCCCAGTTTCGGGCTGGGAGGACTAGGTCCTGCATGAATAGAGTTTCTAAGGTAATTAAAAGTTTAATCAAAGAGGCCAACAACAGAAAAGTTGTCCAAAAAATTACCTTAACTTGTGGATCTGTAGGGCAAGATGCTGGTTTATTGCTGGTCCAATCACTTGTGCCATTTACACCACAACACTGCAGCTAAAAGCCAAACACCCCAAAAATGTGATTGTTAGAAAATTAGCAGAAAGAAAACTGTGGGCCTTGGAGAAAAGATGGGCCCTTCACACCTGACTCTATAGCAGAAAATCCAGAATTGGCCTGACTACTATAGCTCCTTAGAACAAAGTGCTTTCAAATCCATTATACCATTTCATTCATATGGACTCCTTCAAGTAGAGAGGGCATGTTTAGTTTATTCACACTTTATAGATCAAAGATTAGGCACACAGAGAACTTTGTAATGAAGGGATTAGGCTGACCATACCTAGACCCACCAACCAGCTTTAAGATTACAGGAAGTAGGACAATCAGACATTATGTGCATGTTTACACGATGTAATAAGATTTATCAGCTATGCTAGTCTTACTACAAATAAAACCTGTATCAGGCTTTCAGATTCACAAATGAGGGAGATAAAGACTCTCTGACACTAAAATATATTGAGGAAGAAACTAGTCAGATATATAGAACAAACAACCTAATTTCTTCCCACAAATAAATAGCATGAACAAACAGATAAACTATTATACACTAAAAGAGATTTATAGAGACATATCATCCAAATGTAACATGTGGACCTTGTTTGTACCTTAACCTAAAGAAACCAATTAAAACTAATTTTTTAGGTAATTAAAAAATTTTATTATAGACAATTTATTAGTGATATTAAGGAATTATTATAAAATTTTAGGTGTATTAAAAAGAAATTATTTTTCATGAAGTCTAAACAACACAATTCTAAATAACACATGGTCAAAGAAGAAATGTCAGGAAAAATTTAAAAATGTTTTTTAAGTAAATGAAAACACAACTTACAAAAATTTGTGGGATGAAGCAAAAGCAGTGCTTAGACAAAAATGCATCTCATTAAATGCAAATATTAGAAAAGAATAGAGATCTAAAATCAGTAATCTAAGTGCCCACCTTAGGAAACTAAAAAATGAAAAACAAATTAAATCCAAAGTAAGTAGAAGAAAATAAATAAGAATTAGAGCAGAAGTCAATAAAATTGAAAACAAGAAATTAACAAGGAAAATCAACAAAACCAAAAGGTGGTTCTTTGGAAAGATCAATAAAATCAATAATGTTATAGCCAAGCTAAGTAAGAGAAAAAGAGGTGACACAAATTACTACTATCAGAATAAAAGAGGGATACAGATCCCATGCAAATGAAAATGATAATAAAGAAATACTATGAACCACTCTATGCCTACAAATTTGATAACCTACATGAAACAGACCAATTCCTTGAAAAATACAATCTTCTAAACCTCATACAAAAAGAAATAGATGATTTGAATAGGCCTATATCCATTAAAGAAATAGAATCATAATATATAACCTTCTAAAACAGAAAGAACCCAGATGGGTTCATTGGTGAATTCCACCAAACATTTAAGGAAGGAGTTACACCAATTCTCTACAATCTCTTTCAGAGGATAGAAGCAGAAGGATTACTTCCTTACTCATTCTTTGAGACCAGCATTACCCCAATACCAAAATCAGACAAAGATATTATATGAAGAAAAAACAAAAAACAAACACCACCACCCCCAAAAAAACTAGAGATCAGTGTCTTTCATGAACATAGATGCAAAAATCCTCAACAAAATATTAGCAAATTGAATTTTAAAAAGTATGAAAAGAATCATACACCATGACCAAATGGGATTTATACTAGGTATGTAAGACTGGTTCAACATATGAAAATGAGTAAGCTCTAGGGATCTACTGTACAAAATTGTACCTATAGTCAACAATAATGCATTGTTAAAAATTGTTAAGAAGATAGATCTAGTGTTAAGTGTTCTCATCACAATAAAATTGAATCAAGACTGGTTCAACATTGGAAAATCAATTAATGCAAGCTGTTGCATCAAAAGACTAAAAAATAAAAATTACACAATCATATCAGTAGATGCAGAAAAAGCATTTGCCAAATCCAAAACCCATTCATAATTTTTTAAAAACCCTCAAAAAGTTGGAATACTAGGGAACTTGCTTAACTCGATACAAAAATAATCTACAAAAAGCCCTGCAGTTAGTGTCATACTTAATCATGAGAACTTGAAGCTTTCCCACTGAAATCAGGTACAAGGCACTCCTTTCTAACATCATACTGGAAGTCCTTGTTAATGCAATAAGGCAAGAAAAAGAAATAAAAGGTATACATATTGGGAAGGAAGGCATAAAACTGTTTTTGTTCACAGAAAATATGATCATCTATGAAGAAAATCCAAAATAAACAACATAAAACTTCTAGAACTAACTAGCAATTATAGCAAGGTTTCAGGATATAAGGCTAATATGTAAAAGTCAATTGCTTTCCTATATGCCAACAATGAATATGTGGAATTTGAAATTCAAAACACAATGCTATTTATATTAGTAGCCCCCAAAATAAAATACTTAGGTATAGGGCCAGCCGTAAGACTCACTACAGTAATCAAGACAGTATGGTACTGGCAAAACAGTAGACAAATAGATCAATGGAAGAGAATAAATATAGAGCTCATAAATAGACCCACATACAGAGTTAAGTGATCTTTGACAAAGGAGCAAAGGCAATACAACGGAGAAAGATAGTCTCTTCAACCAATGGTGTTGGAACAACCAGACATCCACATGTGAAAAAAACGAATGTAGACAAAAATCTTACACTCGTCACAAAAATTAACTCAAAATGGATCATAGACCTGAGTGTAAAACAGAAACCTATAAAACGCCTAGAAGATAATGCAAGAGAAAATCTAGATGGCCTTGGTTATAGAGATAGCTTTTTAGAAACAACACCAAAGATATAATCCATGAAAAAAATAATTGATTATCTGGATTTCATTAAAATTAAAAACTTCTGCTCTGCAAAAGACAATATTAAGAGAATTAGAAAACAAGCCATGGACTGGGAGAAAATATTAGCAAAAGACACATGTGAAAAAGGACTGTTTTCCAAAACATACAAAGAACTGTGAAAACTCCACAGGAAAATAAACTGATTATAAAATGAGCCAAAGACCTTAACAGACACCTCACCAAAAAAGACATAGATGGCAAGTAAGCATATAAAAAGATTTTCAACATCATATGTCATCAGGGCATTGCAAATTAAAACAACAATGAGATACCATTGCACACCTATTAGAATGGTCAAAATCCAGAACCCTGATACTAAATGCTGGTGAAGATGTGGAGCAAAGGAGCTCTCATTCATTGCTGGAGGGAATCCAAAATGGTACAGACACTTTGCAAGACTGGTTGAAAGTTTCTTTAAAAACTAAACCTACTCGGGGGCCGGCCAATTGGCTCAGTTGGTTAAGAGTGCAAGCTCTGAGCAACAGGGTCACTGGTTCGATTCCCACATGGGCCAGCTGAGCTCCCACTGAGCTGCCAACAGGTGGCAGGATGGCTCAGCTGGTGAGAGCACGTGCTCCTAACAACAAGGTGGTCTGTTCAACTCTGGCATGGATGGTGGACAACACCCACCCACAACTAAGATTGAACTCAGCACCTTGAGCTGAGCAGCCATGAGCTGCTGCCAGATGGCCGGATGGTGACTGGACTTGGAGCTGAGCTTGCTGTGCCCTCCACAACTAAGATTGAAGGACAACAACTTGGCTGTTCCCCTCCCCAACTCCCCAACACTGTTCCCCTCCCCCAATTCCCCAATAAAGTCTTAAAACTAAGCAAAACAAAAAAACTAAACCTACTCTTACCATAGGATCCAACAACCAATGCTCCTCGGTATTTACCCACAGGAGTTGAAAAGTTAATGCCACACACACAAAAAAACTACTCATGGATGTTTATAACAGCTTTATTCATAATTGCCAAAACTTGGAAGTAACCAAGATGTCATTTAGTAGGGGAATGGACAAATAAACTGTATTATATCCAGGCAATGGAATATTATTCAGCGCTAAAAAGCAATGAGCTACCCAGCCATGAAAACACATAGAGAATCCTTAAATGCATATCATTAAGTGAAAGAAGCCAATTTGAAAAGGTTACCTACTGTATGATTCCAACTATATGACATTCTGGAAAAGGCAAAACTTTTGTTTTACCTTGAGACAATAAAAACATCAGTGGTTTCCAGGGATGGGGTAAGAGGAGAGATGAACAGGCAGAGCACAGAGGATTTCAGGGCAGTGAAACTATTCTGGATGATATTATAATGATGGGTATGTTTCATTACACATGTGTCCAAATGCATAGAATGTACAACACCAAGAGTGAACCCTAATGTGAACTATGGACTTTGGGTGATAATTATGTGTCAATGTAGGTTCATTGTTGGTTAACAAAAAAAGTAGCATCCTGATGAGCGATGCTGACAATGGAGGAGACTATGCATGTGGGGGCAGAGGGTATTTGCATATGGGAAATTTCTGTGCCTGTCTCTCAGCTCTGTTGTGAACCTAACACTGCTTTAAAGCATAAACACTTTTTAAAAAGAGGTTATTATCTTTATACTTAATGGGTGAAATGATATAATGTTTAGTATTTGCTTTAATATAGTCTAGCAAAGAAACATAGGGGATTAGTTGAAATGACATTGGCAAAATGTTAACTGTTGAAGCTGGGTGATACGTACCCAGAGATTCATTTTGCTATCATTCTCTTCACTTTCGTATATGTCTGAAAACGCTATAATAAATAGGGTTCTAAAGTGAATTAAAAAATCAAGAATTGGGAATTCAGAGCAGTTAAGTGACTTTCCCAAGGCCACCCAATCCTGGTCCCTGGGTGCTAATTCCTGTGCTATTTCTTCTACCCCACACCAAGCAGGCCGCAGGGCCACAGGAAGCTCCATGTGATCAGAGTGGCATTGTCTGAGACGCACACTGTGCCGGTGCCAGACTGGATCCCTGACCCTTCTTTATCTCCCAACACACCAAGGCAGGAACGCAGGGTTAATATACATGTTTGTGGGTGTGGAGGTGCTATGAGGAGTGGGGTGCTGGTAGGCTAGGTGACAAGCATGGTTTGGGCTACTCAAGAACTCAAAAATATTTTTTTTTTGTATTATACAATTTCTGTTTTCAGAAAAAAATTGAAAAATCCACAAACGAATCTAGTACGACATGTTTGGGTCTTCCTTACATCTTAGTAGGGCTTAAACAATGAGCCTATTGGAGTTGATAAAGGACGAAAGAGAATATAGACAACTTTGTGCCAATCAGGAGGGACATTCCTGCCCCTCCCGTTTGTGACAGCCAAGCATATTCTGGACCTGTGGGCTGTGGATCTTAGATTCTGAAACTTTCAGGAAAGTAAGTCCCCTCCAGCCCCCAGAGACTGAAGTTGGACAATTAAGTCAGGGTGGAGCTGAGGAAGATTCCATCTGTACTCACAAATGTCTGCATGGAGTCCCACGCCGCCTTGGTGCTATTGTCTGAGTAATATCGCTGGATGCTGTCAGTCAGGCCCTCAGCCACAGACTTACTCAGCTGGGATGGGCACATTCCGGCAAAGGAGACATTGTAAAAAACAGGTGAGTTCAAGGAATAAGGAATTTCTAGAGGAGGCTAGTGGTTCCATTTGCTCCTCCCTTCCAAATGATCTCCTCACGAATGAGCTACGAAAGGGAAGGGAGGGACATTCTGGACACCATATATATATGAAGAAGTGCTGAGGGTGAGATGGCATTGAAGGGAGAAGCACACAATGGTCTCTTGTGCTGCCAGAACTCTGGTTTTACAAAGGAGAAAAGGGAACAATAAAAAAATGGGCTTTCTGGGCTAGCCGAGTGACTCAGTTGCTTAAGAGTTAGCTTAAGAGCGCGAGCTCTGAGCAACAGGGCTGCCGGTTCGATTCCCACATGGGCCAGTAAGCTGTGCCCGAGCTGAGCTGCCACTGAGTTGCCAACAGGTGGCAGGATGGCTCAGCTGGTGAGAACACATGCTCTTAACAACAAGACTGCTTGTTCGATGGTACGCTACACCCACCTGCAACTAAGACTGAACTGGGCACCTTGAGCTGAGCTGCTGACCGGATGGTTCAGTGGATACAGCGTGCACTCTTAACAACAGGGTTTGACTCCCACATGGGATGGTGGCTATGCCACAACTAAGACTGAACACAGCACCTTGAGCTTAGAGGCCATGAGCTGCCGATGGGCAGCCAGACAGCGACTGGCGCCCTCCACAACTAGGACTGAAGAACAAAAACTTGGCTGGTCCCCTTCCCCAATTCCCAACACTGTTCCCCTTTCCCAATTCCCCAATTTTTTTTTAAAGAAAGGCTTTCTGGGCCGGCCGAGTGGCTCAGTTGGTTAAGAGCGTGAGCTCTGAGCAACAGGTGCTGGTTCGATTCCCACATGGACCAGTGAACTGCACCCTAGCTGAGCTGTCGCTGAGCTGCCAACAAGTGGCAGGATGGCTCAGCTGGTGAAAGCACATGCTCCGAACAACAAGGTTGCCGGTTCGAATCCCACATGGGATGGTGGGCTATGCCCACCCACAACTAAAATTGAACACGGCACCTTGAGCTGAGCTGCCCTGAGCTGCTGACGGGCAGCCAGATGGTGACTGGACTTGGAGCTGAGCTAGCTGCGCCTTCCACAACTAAGATTGAAGGACAACAACTTGGCTGTTTCCCTTCCCCAATTCCCCAACACTGTTCCCTTTCCCCAACTCCCCAATAAAATCTTTTTTAAAAAAGGGAGAGCTGGGCCGGCCAAGTGGCACGATGGTTAAGAACTCGATTGGGATGCCAGAGGGCCCCAGTTCGGATCCCACATATGAGGGCCAGTGACACTGCCCTCCACAGCTAAGATGCTGAACAACAGCTCAACCTGAAGCTGGGCTGCCATGAGTCGCCGGCGACGGCGTAGGCTGCAGCCCCTGTGGCAGTGGGTTGCCATGGGCTACTGTGTGTAGCCAGCAGCCAACGTGAGCGGCCAGCAGCTGCCGTGAGCGGCCAGCAGCCACAGTGAGTGGCCGTCCAGAAGCCGGCGACTGATCTGCCTCGCCCGGGGAAGCGCGCAATGATGTGCCAACTTGGGCCAGTGAAGCAACGTCCTCCACAACTAGACTGAAGAACAAAATGACAGCAACTTGTCTGTTCCCCTTCCCCCAATTCCCCAGCACTGTTCCCATCCCCCGAATTCCCCAATAAAAATCTTAAAAAAAGGGGGAGCTTTCTTAGGCACTGAAACAGATAGTCTATATTGCCAAACACATGGAGATAAGTGAAGCAGGAGGGAAATAAACTTGTTTTTACTGTTCTTGCTACTCACCCTGCAAAGCACCATTCAAATGCAATATGCTTCACGAAATTTTTTTTCTCTCCCCAGTTACAATAAATCTCTCTTTCCTTCATCTTTCCACTTTGCTTCTACCCCTAATTATAAGATTTATTTTGTGTCAGCTTCTCCACTTCCCACTCCCCATTCTCAGCACTACAACAATGAGTTGTGTTCTTTATAACTTACCTTCTGTTCATACACGAAGAGCAGGATGGCCAAGGTCACCTCAGCAAGGAGGATAATCAGCAGCAGGACAAAGAACTGGGGCAAAGCAGAAACATGGTCACATCACTGATCCCAGTTCTTCCCCTATTCTCACTCCATCCTGGGAGCACCCAGTCATGTCTTTGCACTTGTGTGGTGGGTTCTTATTCCTGCCTGCTTGGACCTTCACCAGCTTTCTCTTGTATTTGGAGGAATACGTATTCTTTTCTTACAACTAGACTTCAAGACTCTAGAGGGCGGATCAACTGTCTTCTAACTGTGTTCTTTTCTTTCCATGTGCCTATCAAACTCTATGTTCATAATGCGTGTACAATACCATTTGTTGAATCGATGAAACAATTTTGGCCTCAGCCTATCAAAGCAGTTGAGCAAAAGACCAATAAACTAAACCATGTATCTTTAGAGTTTGTGACCTGGTCCTTTCTGCAAGAACAGCGCTATTTTGAGGTGGGGACAGGTGATGGTGGAAGTTGAGAGGAGCCCTGTACAGATTGGGAGAAGAGGTGCTCTAATCATGGTTCTAATTCATATTTACCTCCAACATTAGATGCTTACTTCCTTTATGTTAATTAGACAGAACAGGAAACACATTTTCACTTATTCCCTCTTCCTCACCTTTTTATCCCAACATGAATTGTGACTTCTTAAAACTTTTTCCCCATGTCTATTCTCTTTCCTCTTTTGCCATTAGTCTGGGAACTATCTGAGACAGGGACTTTCTTATTCTATCTCTTGGCTCAAATTTAAGAGTTGACTTGAGGAAGAACCAAGGTGACTGAGAACTCATACTTACGGAGAGAGTGGCACTGCTATACCAAGCTCTGTTCTGGGCATACTGGAGAAGTAAGTAGCTCTTTTTTTCATAGAGATTACAGGTAAAACCTAAGCCTAAAGGTACTTCTCGGGATAGTTAACTGACAGGGAACAACTGAAAAGCTCTAGCATCTCTCATGTTAGATCTTAATGGCTGTAGCCTAGGCCCTTGCCTGAACTGGGTCACTCACACTATGGCATATCTCATGCAGAAGTGAGATAGGGAAGCATCCTCTGCCATTTCAGGAGGATCACAGTAATCAGAAGAATCTAGAGAACTAGTTGTTCCATTAGCTAGTGACTCTGAGTCAGATCCTGAATATACATATTAATGGGAGGAGTATTTAGGCAGATGGATGACACTGGGTTTCAACCAGACATGAAAAAAAAAAGAAATGCTATTAATGGAAGTTACAAGCATTGTTGTTAACAGTGTAAAATGGATGCCAAAAAGGATAGCAATGCCCTCTCCCACCTATCCCAGAGATCTCAGTGAGAAACAAAATACTATTGGTTTCGACAGACTTGGTTGACCTGAGATGCCAGTTTTAAGTTTCTATGATTTTCCCTTGCCGATAGCTGAGCTGCCAAGAAACATTTTGCCTGGGATTTAAGGCATCATGTTCCCCCACTTATGGCACCACATCTACTGTGAGAGACTCACCGACATAAGCAGGCACTTGTTCTCCTTGATGGAGCCCATGCAGCCCAGAAAAGCAACCACCATGATAATGGAGCCCACGATGACAAGCACGTTGCCCAGCGTGAGGGAGGGGAGGTTATGGAAGAGTATCCCGACATTGTTGTGGATCAGGAGATATATCCCAAAGCCCAAAATGCAGCAGCCACAGAACTGAAAAGAAGAATCCCACAATATTCTAAAGTTAAACATGGTTCTTGAATATCTCCTCATATTCTCACTTACTTGAGATTAGAGTCATCTTCTTCCATTGGCTCGATCAAGGCTCTGATGAATAACCCATTTACCCAGCTTTTCCCATGAACAGAGAAAACAGGTGACCCCAGCATCTACTTGTGATGTCTCATCCTGCCTATGTCAGATACCAGGGGAAGCTCACTCCTGTGAGTAACACAGTATCTTCATGCTTCAGATCTCCTACTCCTTGTTCCCTCAACTGCTTACATATGGCCTTCCCTTACACATGGACAGCACAACCACGTAGAGAGGAGGTTCTGTTTGAGAAGTTCATCTTGCTAGGTAGAAAACTAGAGGAGCCAACTTTTAAGAACCTTCTCCTAGAAACACATATACCATCCCATCCTATGAGGTGTGACAGTTGAGTTCGCAAAATTGTTGCAATGACATTGCTAACATTTTTTGGTATCAGAGGGATTATTCATTATGAATTTGTACCAACTGGACAAATAGTTCACCAAGTTTACTAGTTGGAAGTACTGAAAAGGCTGAGTGAAAAAGTTATATGAAAACGATCTGAACTTTTCGCCAACAATTCATGACTCTTGCATCATGACAATGCACTAGCTCACACGGCACTATCTGTGAGGGAGCTTTTAGCCAGTAAACGAATAACTGTATTGGAACACCCTCCCTATTCACCTTATCTGGACCCCAATGACTTCTTTCTTTACCCAAAGATAAAGGAAATACTGAAAGAAAGACATTTTGATGGCATTCAGGACATCAAGGGTAATATGATGACAGCTCTGATGGCCATCCCAGAAAAAGAGTTCCAAAATTGCTTTGAAGGGTGGCCTAGACACTGGCATTGGTGCATAGCTTCCCAAGGGGAATACTTCAAAGATGGCTGTAGTGATATTCAGCAATGAGGTGTGTAGCACTTTTTCTAGGATGAGTTTACAAACTGAATTGTTCGACCTCATATATCTGTAATTCAATTGCTAAACCTCTCCAGAAAAGGTGACTTCCATTTCAATCAGCTATTTTTCTAAGAGGCCCAGAAGGGAGGATAAAAGCTAGAAAAAAAGAGGAGCTCAGTAGACTGTAGTGTCTCAGGTTTCTCATCCATAAATGTCAGCAGTGAACAGTAATAGCCTAAAGCCCACACAGAGAGAAACAGCACCCCCATAAATAACTGTGCTGGTTACCTTTCAGTGCTGCAAGCTTACACTGTGGCAGGACGGGAAGAGGGGAGGAAAGTACTATTACCTTCTTTTTAGGCTGGGTATACTGCACATGACCCAGGCATACATAAATTGCACTCCCCACAATGCTCTTCAGTAGAGGAGAGAGAAATAGAGTGTAGCTGAGAGGAGGTAAGCTCAGCCATTCTCAGAAGAAACACACTTACCCAAAAGAGCAAGTTGAAGAAAAACAGGACATACTTCAGCAATTTCAAGCTACTCATGCCCATGCTGGGATATTCTTGCACTAAAAAGTGTAAGGAAAAAAAGAAGTAAGTTACCTGACTCTGCAAGGTGGCTCGAAAAATCAGAGGGCACACATATTCAGGGTTCAAGGATCTCCAGCATTACCTTGGGCTTCAGCCATAACACTTCTCTGGAAAGTTTCTCCAAACTCCCTGTTCTCTTAGTCTCTGAACTGAGGTACAAATTGACTCACCTTGGAAACTGAGTGTTGCTTCAATTCAACAAGCCAAGGATGCTTACCATGGAATTAAATGCTCTAGAAGTAAGCAATAGAGCCATTCTTAGAGAAGTCTGAGTCACAGTGATACATACCAGGCTAGTGCTCAAAGACTAGTGCCTGGGCACTCTCTCAAGAAGGCAGCACTGTTGTAATACTGTGGTTGCCAGTTCAATCCCCACACGGCCACTGAGATGCGCCCTCCACAACTAGATTGAAAACAACTTCTTGACTTGGAGCTGATGGGTCCTGGAAAAACACACTGTTCTCCCTCTTCCACAAAAAAAAGTTAAACAAAAAATTTTTAAAAATAAAATAAAAAGAGGGCAGCACTGGGGTCAGGGATAGGCTGTGGAGAAGGCCAGTGGTTTAATCAGCAATTTCCTTAAGTGCCCTGAGATGCACCTACAAACCACATTTGGCCTATAAACCTCTCCACATGAAGGTGGGGGGAACATATTTATGCCTCCTTCATTCTTTTACTGAAGAGACATTTATGGTGTTTTTTGTTCTAAGATGCTGTGGGAGATGAAATCATGAGTAAGCAGTAGCTATCCTCTAGAGATGTCAATCTTATAGCAGAGATAAAACTGGCCAACAAACATCCAATGGAGAAATGAAAAGAGAGCTTGAATTTTTTAAAAATATAGTTTTTTTTTCTTTGTGAGGACATCGATATCCAAAGTCTGGTCATCAACTCTAGAGATCCAGATACATAATTTTGAATTTACTCTCAGAAGTAATGGGGTTCTATAGAGTGACTCATATTTTAAAATTACATATAAGACTAATATATAAAAATGTCAATTTCTTGTGTTTCTTTTTTCATTAGAACTATGCATTTTACTAGTGCATAGATTGCTCGTAGAATCCATCGTACCCTCTTTTCAGTGTCAAGGTACCCAGAAATCAGATGGTCTTGAGGGATGATTCATTCAGGTTGTAGATAAGCCTGATGAGCCACTTCTGTTCCACAGTAAAGTAATCTCTGCTGAAAAGACCAAATACTTATATCTTTTTCATAGTGTTTTCCTTTTCCTCTACTTTGTCCTCTTTTCCTTTCCTTCTTGTCTTGACCCTCAGAATTATTCCTAGTTCTTCATCAAGTTAAAGTTAATTTGATTTTAAGTGTGTTCCAAGACCCCAAGTGGATGCCTGAAACTGTGGACAGTACCGAACCCTACATGTACTATGTTTTTTTCTATATACACACATATCTATGATAAAGTTTAACTTGGAATTGGGCACAGTAAGAGGCTAACCACAATAACTAATAATAAAATAGAATATTATAACAATATACTGTACTAAAAGTTATGTGAAAGTGGTCTCTCTTAGAACATCTTACTGTACTGTGCTTGCCCTCCCTTTTGTGGTTATGTGAGATGATACACGATAAGCTGAAGTGAGGTGAAGGATGTAGGCATTGCGACGTAGTGTTAGGCCGCTATCAGGGTGACTTGAACACAAGCACTGTGATACTGTGACAGTTGATCAGATAATTGATCAACTGGACAAAGGGATGATTCCTGTCCCAGGTGAGTCAGAGCAGGATGGTGCAATTTACAACCTACGAATTGTTTATTTCTGGAACTTTCCATTTAATATTTTCAGACCATGGTTGACCACAGGTAACTGAAACCATGGAAAGTGAAACCAAGGATAAGGGGGTACTATTGTACTTGAGAGGTGAAAAAAAGTATGATGATTTAGTACACAGGCTTTGAGGTAAAACTTAAAGTCAACTCTCACAAATGCCACTAAACAGCTATGTGAGATTTGGAAAACTATTTATCAGTCACAATTTATTCCTATGTAAGATGGCATAATACTTACACCTGAGAGGGTGGCTGTGAACGTTTAATGATCTTACCACAGAAATTGACATATGGCCAGTACTCAACAAATGGAACCCATGATTATTTAGTCTTAAAGGGCCACTCTTGTTTCTCAGGAGTGGATGATAGATTTGAGTGCTTCCCAGACCTCTCTATATTGACCAAGTCTTTCATCGACTAAGATTCATCTATGGAAAAATAATCTTATTGATTTTATCTAGAATTTTAAAATTAATTTAACTCATAGGATGTGACATTTACCAGTCCCCATCTCCAAATTCTTGAGAATCCTTATTGTAGCCTTTTGCACAGTAATAAAAGATGAATATGTCAAGTCCCAAAGAATAGTACCAAATGCCATGGGAATTAAAAGATTTTCAGCTGTATTGATGACAGAATTGACATTCAAATGAGTGTAGTCCCTTTGAGCAACTAAACGTTAACATTACTTCAGACAAAAAGAAGAACCTCTTCTTTCACCATCCCTGATTTTTTAGTTACTCAGACTCACACTAAATTGAAGGAGAAAAACTGCCCGTTTAGTAAAAACTGTCACCACTTTCACCACACGCAATGATGGCCCCAGTTTCCATATCAACCCAGAAAGAATGCCACTCTATTCCCCCTTCCCTTTATTCACTGTGTCGGATCAGTTATTGAGCTCCTACCTGGTCACCCCTTCCAACCCCGCTGCCTAGAAGAACTGACATACCTCCACAGTCAAAGTCTGCGATTCTCAGCCCCATGACTCATGGCTCTGTGGAAATTCCCTGATGTCAGCTTCTAGAAAACCTCCGTGACTGAACGGTGGTTAGCTACGGCCATCTCCCACAGCCCAACGTGGAGGTCAAGGATTAAGTTTATACTTCAGTTTCCTCCAAACAAAGAGCTAGAGATGGTAAACTGTCTTGTGGATTTCTAGTTCAATCCCTCTCTTTTCTTTGACCCATACTTGCATGGCCATTCAATCTAATCTTGAGCTTAATTAAGGTTAGAAGTGGCTAAGGTTGGACAGAAGCTTCAAAAAGCTGTCAATTCTCACTCTCCAGCCTTATCTGACCCAATCTTAGAGACCAACCTGGAATCACAGCAAGATAAATTTGGTGTTGCACAGATTTTTCTGTTCATGAGCTATTAATACGTGTTCCCCAAACAAAAACAAATGAAACAAGGGAGTGAAAGGAATTCATGTTCAAATAATTTTGGAAGTAAGTGGGATTAAATAAAAATAAAACAACAAATAGTTCTTTAAATGAATGACTTCTGAAAAACTTGTTATATGCTAATGTACATTGTGGGCCTCTAAGAGAAAAATCTACTTACATAGCTACAAACCTGTTCTTATACTGAAGATTACTTATTAATAGCTCAGAGAACGTAGTGTTCCATGGAACATCATTTGATAAACACTAGTACTGGAATCAACAGATCTAGTTTTGAATTCTGGTGGTGCTGCATACCAGAAGCATGACCTTGGGCTACTCAGTTAACCTCTCTAACTTTCACAATTTTCTCATCTTTAAAATGATGACATCAGTATGTACCTCACAGGTTATTCTGAGGGTTAAATAAGGTATATTCCCTAGATGGCTCAGTACCAGAGTGCCGAGTTCAGTGAACACTCAACAAAAGATCAAGTTCAGAGCTTCCTTACCAGTCCATTTCTAAGGGTGACACAGATTCCTGCCAGATTTTCAGGAATAAAATACCTCTGGGGTCAGGTCTGGCTTATCTCATTTGTAAATAACTTAAAAAAAAAAGAAAAGGGCCAGCTGAGTGGCGCGTTGGTTAAGAGCTGGCTTGGGACACCAGCTCTGAGCACCAGGCCCGGGTTCAGATTCCACATGAGGGCCAGTGACACTGCCCTCTATAGCTAAGATGGTGGACAACAGCTCGACCTGGAGCTGGGCGGGCGTAGGCTGCAGCAGGGGGCTACCATAAGCTACCCTATGTGGCCGGCAGCCAGCGTAAGCGGCCAGCAGCCAGTGTGAGCTGCTGAGAGCTGCTGTGAGTGGACATCCAGAGGCCGGCGACCTCACCTGGGAAGAGCGCAATGATAATACCAACATGGGCCAGTGAAACAACGTCATCCACAACTAGACTAAAGAACAAAAGGACAGCAACTTGTCTGTTCCCCTTCCCCCAATTCCCCAGTACTGTTCCTCTCCCCCAATTCCCCAATAAAATCTTAAAAAAAAAAGTCTTGTGTGCCCTTTGCATTAAAAAATCAAACAATAAAGTACAAAGAAGAAAGCATAAAATCTTCTGAAACCTACCTCCCAGAGACAACCACCCAGAGATTAACATTTTTGGTGACCATTTTTCCAGACATTTCTCCACGTATATTTCTCTCTATACAGATCTATTTGCCAATCTATCATATATGGAAGAGGATGATGCACAGAAAGGTAAACATTGGCTTCCTACCCAGAGCTTGTGGAGATCTTTGGTTCGTCAGTGAAGGATATTGGGGGCCTTGATTAAGAAAAGCTTTTTCTAAACAGGAATGAAAATCTGTTCTCCATGAGGGCCCCCAAATGAAGGCCCTCTTGCCAAATTAAATTTAGATCAATGATATAGTTCACTGAACCCTGAAAACACCAAGTTTTTCATAAACATATTTTATTTATAATCCTCACGTCAACTCTGCAACTTAGGAGTCAATAACCCCACTTTGCAAACAGGTAGCCCAAGGCTCAGACAGCCTATAGAATTGGTACAAGATCACTCCACTAATGAGCAACAAAAACAGGGTACAGGCCACAGTGTTTCAGCCTCCAAAGCCCACGCTCCTTCCACTGCCCCTCAACTCACTCGCTACAAAGTGATGGGCCTCCAGGAGGACTCCCTTCATCTTTCACAGTTTGCACCCCTGTGAGCAGTGGCTGAGGAAGGAGGGGGGTTAGGAATGTATGTTTCTTCCAGGGAATAACAGGCAACTGTAGA